ACGAGAAATTTCCCTGATTATTGTAGGTGGGAAGAATTGAGAAGCGGCCGGCCGTGTTGATATTTCTTTAACCGCTTGCATTCGCTGTACAAAATTTGTTCTTCGCTCTATCGTCGTTGAGTTTTTACCTAAAAAGAAAGCTTCTAATGTAGAACGGCAGAAGAAAATCTTTTTAAGCTTAAGTTGTTCTGTACAGGCAAGATTCAAATTGCGTACATACCTGCTTGTCCGACACGATCATAAGGATGAGTGAAGTACGCCGGAAGCAGAGGAATATTATATTTTGGTTTTAAATTTTAAGGATGAAAATCGGAAGGGTTGTTACTTGAAACTTGAGTCAAACCGGCGCTGTGTCATATCGGATCAGCTATCAATCCCGTGACGTTTTGTTCAAGAAGTTTGTCGCACAGTTATCGCGTTTATTTTCATGTTCGATAAGATACTCGCGGAAACCATTGGCTAACAACGAACGCAAGTGTTTCTCAAAACACTCGGGACCTCTGGAAGAAGTGTTCTTAACTGTAATGCTTCGTCATTCACTGATCAAGTCAATCGTCTCAATGCAGTTGGGCTGTTTGTGTGTTTATGGAAACGGAAGGTTTGATAATGAGTACGTGATTCAAAATCCATTTTCTTTACCCAATGTTAATGCAGTTCAACTGAACGGCTGATGGGAAGAAATAAATTCGTCAAATTGTGGGTATTGTCTGGATGTAGGGCCAAATATTCAAAGAATTAGAATGACTGATACATTATATTTAATAAGATTGGGACAGAAACACTTTTTCCCGAATCCCAACGTATATTTCTTTATATCAGCGGGTTGGTTGCGAGTTCTATTGTACTCTTTGCTCGTAAATTGTGTAACTCATTTTGTATTTATAATTTTACGGGTATAAATAGGCCTTTCCTAAAACTACCATGGTATAGTGTTAACCTCGCAAGGTCTTTGTTCTAATGACACAATAGCCTTTAGAGTCCATGTGGCCAGCTCGCACTTAAATAGTCGACGCTTTAGTAGAGGTGTGTTCTGGAATTAGAAAAAGCCGACAGCTTACTTTAGAGGCTTGAGGCCAATGGAAACTTAAATGTGTGCTAGTTTTTGTTCCCCAGATTCAATGTTTATGCAAATTTAAAGCAAATTTTAATCCCTTCGAGAACTTGTGGCCTGGCACGTGCAGCTCGTGACAAGAACAAAGCCCATTGTAAATGCATGCCTCCTAATACTTCGAAAAATATTATGGCATTTTTGACCAGCTCTAAGTGCCTTCGTAGCTCAGTATTAAGTGGTAGATCGTGTTTACTGGCATCTCAAAGGTGACGAATGGCTTCCACTCGCAAAGCCTCATTTTTTTTCACAATTTCCGGTTTTGTAATTCAACTAATTGCTTAAGAAGTTGTTGAAGAATTGAAAGATCGCTTTCCTTTCTTTTCATATTTTTTGCCCTCAGTTCACCTGAAAGATTCACGATTTTTAACGCTTGCATTATTCAAATAATCGCATTTTGTTATGGTGAGACTTTAACTCTGTTATTCTTTTTCTTGTGTAAAACTAACACAACACAATACGGTACAACAAAGCGCCTTACAATACAATGCAATGAGATGCAAGTCGCGTAATGCAATGGAGATTTATTTGACCACATTGAAGATAAAGTTTAATTTGCGTTCTGTTTCTTCTTCAAGACCGAGCAGAGAGGAAGTCCAAGAATGGGGAATAAGTTTTGAAAAACTACTCACGAGCAAAAGTAAGTGAAGTTCGTAAATTTTTGAATTTTATTCAGCTGAGAGATTAACACGTAACTTCTCCTTACCATATCATTCCATTGTCAAGCAGACAGGTAATGAGAAGAACGAAAATCATCAATTAAAGACTGGTTTCTATGTTATAGTTTCGATCGCTGTAAAAAAGGCCGGGACGTTAGCTGTATCTGGGATCTCAACGATCGTAGCAATCTCTTGTTTTAGAAATCATTGAGAGAAATGTTGGGAGTACCAGGGTTAGGGCAAGTGTTAATTTACATCATTAGTTTAATGAGATGTATCTGTCCGTCCTGTTAAAAGTGTGTCGCAGCTGAGGCGACGATATCGATAAACAGGGGCAATAGAAATTATTTACAAGAAAATGGCACTAAAATCTTCAGGTGAAATTTTCAATGTTTTCGGTCACCTGGCCGTCACCCACGCGTCGTCCTGTTGACCTCGCTTACGTAATTAACCTAATGGACGTAATCAGTGGGCGTCTGTGTATGTAGGAGGCTTTCAACAAACAACCCATTGATGAGAGAAAATGAGTGCAAGAGCGCGAGGAAAACACAAGAGGACAGTTACTGCAAAACACGCAGTAATAAAAGGGATTGTAAAAGTAGCTAAAAGTGTTCCCTCTTAGTATTTCCTCACAGACCAGACCAAAAAAACAAACAAACAAATAAACAAAGAAAAAAACAGTACAGACCAGTAAGAAGAGCATGAAGGAAATTTGTATGTTGACAGCATGATGATTACCCTGGTCCCAGAGGTTTTTCTTGATTTTTCTCCGCATGAGAGAGCTGCGAGGAGCCGCGAAGCGGCGGACACAAGTCGCGAAGCTGGCTGTCTCATCTCATACGGAAAAAAATCAATAAAAATTCGCGGCTCTCTTGGCTGTCTCATCTCATGCGGAAAAAAATCAAGAAAAACTCTGGGACCAGGGTACATGACGATTCTCTTCTTCTCAAAGCATGTAGAATATATCCTGGTCACGTATCGAGTCCAGCCATTAGGGAACTTAAGCAAACCACGACGGCAACGGCAATGAGAACGTCACCAAACAAAAGGTTTAATGAGCAAAACAATAACTGTGCACGTGCGTTATAAAACTTTGTACATTTCTTAGCCGTCCTCTGGACAGCAACAACGTGAAATGACTAATTAAGTTCTGCGTATTTTGGAGAACGCGAACGACCGCGGCTAAGTTTTCGTATTTTTATTTGGAATTTAACGCTGGCGTTACATTTTTAGCTTGAGCACTTCTGAGACTGATAGGCGATCTGAATAGATCTAGACAATTGCGAAATTCAAAGATAAAATATAAATTCATTTTTTTACTTGGCGTCGTCCTCGCAGTCGCCGTCGTCATTGCTTTGCGTGATCTGCGTGACTGTACCATAATCACGCAGTCGTTTGTGTTCGTGGTCAGGTTGTAACGGCAATATATTGAATCGATGGCGAGAAAGCGTGAAATAACCTAGAACCCGTAAATCGGATTTTTAGTTTTCAGAGGAAAAAAAATGGGTCAAGGCAGTACTAAACGAGAATATTTCTTTCTTTTTTTTTCTTCGCTCTTCTTTAGCTGGTGTGAAAATCTTCCATGATTTTCTGAAATCTCAATACTCAGAGGAAAACTTGTTGTTTTGGCTGGCGGTGGAGAAACTCAAGAAAGAAACAGATCAGGCGGCCGTCAAAGAACTCGCACAGTCCATTTACCGTGATTACCTATCATCGGAATCTCCTAAAGAGGTGTGTACCTAGTGTTTATATTAATAATGCCCTGTGTACAATTTATATCTAATCGTACCTTTTGATACGCTTCGGCGGCATATCAGGCCAGTTTGGTCTCGCCGTAGTCGAGACAAAGTACCCATGGCTAGACCAAACGAGCCTACCCAAATTCGGCCGAGTGACCATGACGTCATAGCCATATCGGGTCAGTGACTTGATATCAGGGGATATCAGGACAGTAGTCACGGCTTCTGATTGGCTAATTGCGAATTTGGGTACGGTAACACTTGAAACCTGCCCGGCCACATGCTGCCCTGCTCACAAACAGAGATTCCAGATCCACATTTTATCTGTACAGTCAGTGTGTTGAATACCGAAAAAGGACTTTGACATGAGCAGATTTGCGAAAGCCAAAACAAATAAATTAATGCTCGGATTTGCGAAAGCCAAAAAAATAAATTTAAGCTTATAATGCGCTTAATTTATTATCGGATGTCTTAATTTGTAGGAGAACTTTGAGACTTGGAACCTTGTAGCGTTCGAGCTGACTCCCGTTTGGGACTGACGTGCACAATGCACTAACTAGCACCCCGTCCATACTACGGAAACCATAGTTCTGTCGCTCCTTAGCCACTAAACTCGAAATAGACTTAACTTTACCAACAAGGCTTGAACCTTTCTCACCTCGTCTTCTTTTGCTTACACCCACTCATGAAGTTTTTAATTTCACCTCTGTTCAATAGGTCAGCATTGACCACAAAACTCGGCAGCTGATTGAAGACGTGTTGGAGGAACCCGATCAAACAGTGTACGACAATGCTCAGCGTCACGTGTATTACGTCATGTATCAGGACTGTTACCCAAGATTCATAGTGTCGAACGTTTTCAAGGCCCTACTGATGGCTAACGACTGATCACGTGATTTTGAATAGTATCTAGCTTATTTTCTGTTGAGTAGATTCTGCGATCGATGGTACGATTAGATGAAAATACAAAGTAAGGGACTCGTTCTTCTCGGTTTTTTACTTCGGGCCTTGCGTCTTAATGTTCCGATGAATATTTCTTGGCGCATTCTGTTAAATATCATGCTACTTCACAATTGGTCCTTTGAGCGTTGGGTCGTTTCACGCGACAGTCTTTCGTAGCACTAACGAAT